GTGATGGGCTCCCTTAAAAGGAGATGCACCTCTGTTGGTATGAGTAGTACTATTAATCCTCTTAATTTAATCTCGGGTATTACAATCACCCCCACTTAGGATCGCAACGTCCTCGTTGCGCCCTTAAACCAATCTCAAACAAATCCCAGAATCTTTTCCCCTGCTAAGTGTCTGCCCGATATCCAACGGATCAGTACACTGTCGCAGGGTTGCTCTGATACCACCTGTAACTACCCCGGGTCCTGCACGTATTGGGTCCGTATCCGAGAGTGCACCCTGCGACAGTGTACTGCCCGGTATCCGTATCCGATACTCACCGATACGCGTCCTGTACGTATTGGGTCCGTATCCGTAATTTAATAAAAGTATCAGGCTTAATTTTAAAAATACCGATACTTCCGATACCCGTATCCGTGAACCGATACGCGTATCTGACCCTATAACCCCTCATTTGATACACGACATGTCGAAAATTTAGTAGCCGCCCAAGTGATCACAACATGTGAAACATTGATAAAGATGGTTTCAGGAGTATGGAAAATAATGGAATACTATAATTTGTCATTTCATTGCTTGATGAGCTTTAATTGAAACAAGACATAGATGTAAATGCAAATAGAGAACAAAAAAATGTTATTTGAATTTAAATCAAAATATTAGTACTTTTGTTTTTTTAGTTTTTTTAGACTAATCTTTGAAATTTTATTATAAAAGTTAATTTTTTGTACTATTATTATTTTATTTATGAACCCCTGAATTATATATATTTGCAAATTATACCCTAAATTTTTATTATTTATAAATATACCCCCATACCCGTATCCTATAATTTTTGAAATTGCCGTATCGCCGTACAAGTATTCGCGTATCGGCGTATCCGTATCCGTGCAACATAGACTCTTACTGTACTGTTATTGTTACTCTTACTCTTAGTTTTACTCTTACTCTTACTGTTACCATTACTGTTACTGCTACTGCTACTTTTATTGTTATTGTTACTATTACAGTATTACTATTACAATTACAATTATTATTATCATTATCATTATTTAAGTTTTAGAGCTATTCAAAATATGCGCATTGTTTTAATTAATTTGAAGTATATGCAAATGACATTGGTACACTTTTTTTGTTTTTGGGTTAGCAAATTACACTACATATACATATAAAATGAATCAAATTCATAAAATTGAGATAAATGTTAATTGTCTCAGGAAAAGTGATAGCATTTGATTGAGAATGTTGCCGTAAGAATTTATTTTGAATCAGTTGAATTACACTTAATTCAAATTTACTAATTAGGTGTCTAGCAATTATTTATCTTCTACTATACACCTAATTAAGATTCATTTATTTGCTTTTAGGCTGTAGTCAATCACATTAATTAACATATATAATAAAGTTATTAAATTATGGACCAAACTATCACGAAAAATTTCTATAGAGAGATTATCTATTTTGGTTATGATTTTGGGAAAAGGGTTCATCTATATCCCCTCCCTCTTTAGTAATGAAAGCTTCTAATCATTTTGTAAAAATATTTATGATTTCCAATGGAAGTTAAATCTTATTTAGTTTCACTTTTTTTGTTTGAACATGTCTATGAAAGTGATTTCAAAATTTCAAATTGTATAAAATATTAGATTAAATCAGTACTGATTTTTTAAATCAATTATTTCTGAGGTCAATTAGATGGGTTTTAAATGCATTCTATCTATTATTAATTAACAATTTTAATAATGATCAAAATTGTTATGCATTTTTTAAATTTAGGCTGATTTCAACCTATTTTGTACGGGGGTTTTAAATTGGAATTTTTGCCTCAAATGGGACTAAATTATTCCTGAAATTCCTAAATAGGACTATTTATAATTTTATTCCCAAATAGGACTAGTTTACCTATTTACCCCTATTTTCTTCCCCTTTAATTCTCATGCGCATACCAATACATCGACCCATCTTCATCCCCTTCTCACACCATCAACCATCTCCTCCCTTGCGCACACCATCTTCCTCCCCTGCCTATGTTATTCTCCCTCATCTTCTCTCCTTCCCCTTCGCCATGAACGAACCTAGAAGCCCGGTAGTGAAGCCCACCTCCGCCCTCACATGCTCATCTTCTGTCCTTCTCCATCGCAGCCAACGTCGCGAAGTCCGCCGCCACCGCCGTCGCAAAATCCACCATCGCCGATGTCGGAGATGGTATTCTTCTTCTCCATGCTCCGTTTCTTCTTTGATTGCTACAGAATGCCAATTTAAACTCTAAAAATGCCATCAAAATGGCATTCCTTGTCTTCAAAAAATTTGTATTTTCCTTTGCAAATGCCATTAATATGACATTCTGATAAAAACCTTGGCATTCACACCGACAATGCCTAGATCTGGAACTGAGGAGGTCAGATTTGCAACAGTAGATGCCGGATATGGTGTGACGGTGGCCGGATCTACAGGGGCAGCGACCGACGGAGGCTAGAGTTGTCCAAATCTCCGGTGACGCTAGCCAGATCTGCATCGTCGGCGTCCAGATCTACAACGGTGGCCAGTTTTTGAGGTGACGGTGATGTTCGGAAACCGGCGGCGACCGGCGGCGAGTGGCGGCGACCGGCGAAAGCTAGGCAGTGTGGTCCTGTGTTCTTCTGGTCGCAGCAGTATCCCTTCCAAGCATCAAGGGCATTTTTGTCCGATTATAACTCCCATTTAGGATTTTTTTTACTTTGGTCCTATTTTGACAATTAATAATTGATTTACTCCTATTTAGGTAAATACCTCTTTTAAATTTTATATGTATGACTGCTAAGCTATATATTTATAAAGTTAACGAAATGGGTTTGAATAACTTTTAGGGAATCCAAACAATGATACGTTTAGGGACATTGTGCTAAGTAGAAGTAAAAAATGTTATAGAATTCCAAAACCGGACTGCTGCGTTTTTATTTCCGAAATAAGAGTTGTTACTGTCGTGATGGTGGTAAAAATTGTCATATTACTCATTCTTCGGAAAGAAAAAAATAACAATCATATTTTGAAATTGTAAAACCTATTAACTCCTATTTCGAGAAAATTCTCATACAATTATACAAATAATTAAATATACTAATTTAATACTCCGTATATACTACGTATTTATCAAAGTTAGGCTACTTGATCTTCCATATTTGTTTCATATTTGTTTCTTCGCTTGGACTTCAAAGCAACATCATATATTTAGTTAAACTCAAATTTTCTAGTAAAAAAATAAATAAATAAATAAATAAATAAAAATTGAAATTTTCTAGTCTACTCTGGTTTGATAAATGTGTGGTCTATGTATATTTTACAATTGTCGAAGTATCTCTTGGTATGATCTAGTCTGATTTAATCTGGTCTAATTTGAACTGGTCTGGTTTGGTCTGATATGGTTTGATCTGGTCTGAAATAAGTCCAATTAAAAACATCCTTATTCTCCAAATAAAAGGTTTTTTTAAGACTCCAAATAAAAGGGTTGTTCTTACGTTTCAATAATGAGAGAATTCCCTAAATAGGAGTAAAAACGTTTTGAAATTCCAAAATAGGAGTATCATGTTTTTTATTCCCTAAATAGGAGTAAATTTCTGCCAGGTTTGGCATTACAAAGCTTTAAACATGACATTTTTTCCCCCAAACGTGGCAGATTACTCCTATTCAGGGAATAAAAAACATGATACTCCTATTTTGGAATTTCAAAACGTTTTTACTCCTATTTAGGGCAATTTCTGTTCAATGAATTGTCAAGTTGCTAATTCAATTTGGGAGTTGTTTTAATTAATTCGTAATGCAAAATTTTCTTCAATATTTATTAATAGCCGTATTAATAATAATCTTTATTAAATTTATATCCAAATTAGACTCCTATTTAGTATCGAACAAATAGACGTAAATTTGATTCCTAGTGGTAACTAAATGTATATTGAGTCCTATTTTCATGTGTCTTTAAGTGGGTTAGACGTGAGATAAGATGGTGATCTGAGCTAAAATTTTGGTTTGTTGAAATTAATTAAATGCTTTTAAAATAGTGATAATATATATTTTTGTTGACCAATAACAGAGTGACATGTTAGCTTTTTTTAACTGTGTTTTACTATATAAAACAATAGATTTTGATTTGCTAAATGCCTAAATGCTAATGTGATGTATAATTGATTTGTGAATTGTCATGTGTGAATGCCGAATGGACCAATTTGTAAATTTTTAAATACATTTTTATTCTTGCTTGTTTTTTGTTAGGGTTATCACTATTTCAATTATGAAATTATCAAATCACAATTAATTAAATTGTGTGATTTGTATTTTATAGAGAAAATTAATACGTAGTAATATATATTGTTAAGAATTCCAGTAATTATGTACCCATTTATTTCTTTCTTAGCACCATGCCTCTCAAATCTTTTGTGTGGATTTCAAAAGAGGGAAAAGAAATAGTGTATTGAATCATTGAGTATGTTTGGCAAATGGCTGTTAGCGGTTGTTGTTAGCTGGTTGTGTCAGCTGTTTCCTAACAGCAGGTTGTGTTAGCTGTTTTGACCGGCTGGTTATGTTAGCTGATTATGGATAACTGTTTGGTAAAATTGTTTGTTTCGAAATGGTTGATAGAGTGTAAATTGAACTAGCCGAATGAAGAAGCTGCTCCCCTTAGCTTCTTCAACAATCCATTTTTCAGCTTTTCAAACTCAACAAGTTAATTTTAAAAGCCATTTACCAAACATCATTATTATCTTCTTTGACCAATCAAACAGTTGAAATGGGTCAAACAAGCTAAAAGCCGGCTGATTAATTACTGGAATTAAAATGGAAATTAACGAAGGATAATTATGTACCCATTCCAGTAATTATGTACCCATTCCAGTAATTATGTACCCATAAGAATTCCAGTGGAAATTAATTCCGCCAACCACTAGAGCTCCTCCACTGCCACAAACATACATACTTCCTATGATTTAAGTGGAAATTAAATCAATCAAAGGATATATGAAAATTAAAAATTAGTTGACTTCATGCAGTGACACACAGACTTGTAATTTACGAAGTTACAAATTAAAGGAAAAGTTATTGAGGAGTAAACAGTACACTTCTAAATAGGAGTTCACTCATAATCTTCCATAATTAAATAAGAGCAAATGATAATTTTCTACCATTAATACCTCTATTCTAATTAATTAATTGCCCCAATTTCTCATGGACAACCAGATCAGTTCGTTGGTGACGAGGCAGTCCGGCGGTGGAGACCGCTGTCACGCTGTGGCGGTGGCAGGCAAACTCGGAAAAAGTTTTGGAATTCTTTTGAATCGTCAGAGCTCGGCGGCGCGAATCTGGATGTTGGCGACGGCAGAGCTCTTGCGGCCGGCGGCGGCCAGAGATCGGTGTTGGCAGGCGATAGTGGTCTGCAGTGGGGTGGGTATTTGCAATGGTATTTTTGTCTAATCGCTGAAAAAGTTCCTATTTTGAGAATATTCAAATGATTACTCCTATTTTTGCCTTTGATTTTGCCATGTTTTACTCGGGAATTATCTCTTTGAAGGAACAACAATAAAGAAAAAACTAATCGGACAGTATGAGATACTACCTCCGTTCTTAAATAAATGCAACACTTTGACTTTTACACTATTCACATGTTCTACTTTGACTACGTTTTATTTATTAATGTAATAATATTATTTTATGAAAAAAATATTGTTAAACTTGTCTCATTGTAAATTTTCATAATCTAATTTTTTTAATTTTTTTTACTAATACAAAATCATTTATATTAATGGTCAAAGTTGTGTCTCGGCAAGTGTGAAATGTTGACCGTTGCATTTATTTAAGAACGGTGTAAGTATTGGTCAAATCAAAGCCAGATAGCACCAGCTTTTCTAAGCAAAGGCACCAGATCGCCGGCGATATGAGCCGCCAAAACCTTGTCCAAGTCACCGAAGAGCTTCCCGCCGATGAAAGCCGCCGGGAACGGCGGCAACTGGGCGGCGGGATCTCCCGTGCATCTGAGAATCCGGGAAAGCTGGCAGGTGACCGCGACTTCGTCCTCCTCATCGACGTCGTGAATGGTGGGGTTGGCGCCGAGGCCGAAGAGCAACCGCTGCATGACGTAGCACATGCAGCAGCCGCGCCTTCCAAACACGACGATCGCATTTTCCGCCACAAGAAGCGCGCAATCGCCGTCGTCGGTGCTGGAATCGCACGAGCCTTCGCTCGAGGTGGCGCCGGACTTACTCTCCGACCACGGCGACGTGTACGTTTTTTGCATGGCTGAAATTGGGAGAGGAACTTGGCAAAGGGATCTGAGTTAAGTATAGATTGATATACGAAGTCCTCCGTATATTATAGTGGAAGAATTTAGAAAGCCTGCGAGAGAATGGAGATTGTACAGTCATGGCTGACGTATGTGTATACGTCACAAACCGGCATAATAATGAATCAAGCACATAATTGCTAAAGACAAAACAATAGCACAACATTTTATTTTACAGGTAAATTTTGGTACCGTAGAGATGGGTTACTTGACCATACAACTTGGCCGGCCGTAGTGACGTCATCACTGACGACAACTCTAGGTGTTTTTATTGAGAAAAATTAAATCTATAGTTTTTTTGGTTAAAGGGTCAAATAGGCCCTTGAATTGACTTAAAGTGTTCAATTAGTCCCAGGTTCTGCCCGGCCGTTGCCAATTGGGGCGGTTCCCGGTGGAATTTTTGATGAAAATTTTTGAACATCTTCTTTATTAAGTCTAGTTTACTCATACCAAATTTCAGCTAAAAATTCAATCGGGAAGGCAGTCAAATGTTTTTTTGAAGATAACTGTGAAGTTAAACAGCGCAGTATATTTCGGAAAATCATTTGACTGCCTTTCCGGTTGAATTTTTAGCTGAAATTTGGTATGGGTAAACTAGACTTAATGAAGAAGATGGTCAAAAAAATTCCACCGGAAACCGCCCCAATTAGCGACAGCCGGGCAGAACCTCCTATATAAGGGGCTAATTGAACACTTTAAGTTAGTTCAAGGGCCTATTTGACCCAGGTGTCGGTGCTTGCGCTCCCCTAATCCTGGAGTCTATTGACTACCCTCCAAAGCCTTCTAGACAGATAAATCCGGATATGATCACAGTCAGCCTCGTCAGTACTAGTACTACATGAAGAATCCAGCAGGACTTCCTTTCAACTGAATGCAGAAGGGTTGTTTTGGTCTTTCAACTAAATCCAGAAGGGTCCTCCCACCACGCGAACCCGAGCCTGATTTTCCATCCCCTCCCTTCTAAGCCGCTAAGCAACTCCGTGAAGGTAGGAAGAATCATTGGGAGCAAGACCCCCCTCCTCTCCCCTAAATGTGTCTAGCGGGAATCGAACCTGAGACCTTAGCTAGACACGGTAGCCTTGCTTCCAGTGGACTGGAAAGCTCGGTTTAAATTTATAGTTTTATGTCCTAGCATAAAATACTCCTTATGAAATGTGATTATGTGAGTGACTGACCTGTCACCAACAAAATGACTTTGGTTATGAAAGGGAACTAGGGACAATTAATTATATTAATTAATTAATTAATTAATTAATTAATTAAATTAGGGGTGAATATGTAATTTTTATTCCTATTTAAGAAAAATCAAACATATAATCATACTTTAAGAATAATGCTATGTTTTAGTCCTACCGTGAGTGATTTCCTCTATATAATACGGAGTACGATAAGAAATAAGTAAGTAAGTAAGTAAATAAATAAATAAATATATAGATAAATAAATGAAAAAATGTAATTCATATAGCAACACAAAGTTCTACAAAAATAAATGAAGCATAAGAATTCAAATTTAATTTTACTAAAAAAACTCAAAGGTTCAAGAATGCTCGAGAATTTTGGCCATTTTATTAATGATTAAGAACATTAATCGTTACACAAGCGTTACACTCATTGCTACATGTGGTACAAGCATAGATGCAATCGAGCTTTTCTACTTAATGATTGTTTTCTTTTAATTTCTATTTTGTAAAAACTTGTATATGTATTTATGGTTATATATTTATTAATTTGAAATTATACTTTTATGTGTTAATCGATTTAGCGATGAAAGAAAGTGATAGGTAAAACATTTATTTTCTTAATGGTTAACTGATGACGTATCCGAATTGCATTGATGTAATACTATCAATTCTTATATCGGTTCTTCTAAGAACTTCTAGAATCGAAGTAATATGGGATTAAGGAATCGAGGGGGTGGGGCCGGCAAACTGAAGAGGAAGAAGAACGGAAGGAGAGGGGTAGGGCGTGCTGGGCTGAAGAAGAAAAAGAAGAAACATCGAAGGGAAAGGGGTGTCTAGGCTAAAGAAGATGAGAGTTGGGGGAGGGAGAGTAGGCTTGGCCCGAGGCCGGTCTGATCGGCCCGGGACCCGGACCGGCCCGCCACTGTGCAGGCCTGGCCCGGTGGATCGATACCGGTACAAGGCCTGGGCCCGACCCGGGGGGGTTAATTGGGGCGGTTCCGGGACTGCATATTTGAGGACCGGACCGAGCCTTTTTTTTTGGGTTTGGGCCTATGGTAGGTAGGATGGGCTGGGTGTTTTGGAGGGGTTTGGGGGTGGGGGTTGGAATATATAAGAAAACCCAAAAAAAAAGAACTGGCCCGGCCCGGTACCAGTAGACTCTCGGGCCGGTCCCGGGCCTTACCCAAAAAATTCCAAGCCCGGCCGTGCCCGACTCGGAACTGAAACCGGGCCGGGCCCGGTCCATCCCTAGGAGGGAGGGGAGGGATGGAGTGGGACGAGATGAAGAACCGATATAAGAAAAGTTCATGGAAATCTTTGGTGAGGAGAAGAGATAATTGCAGAGATTTTTTGTACTAAAAATGAGTTAAAAGTCCACATGAATCCATGATTTTAGAAGTCGATAAGAATGAACGGAAATTTGAATACACCTAGACTTTTGTGGACTTTTAAAAGTCCACATTGAATACACATAAACTTTTAAAATCCATGGACTTTTAACTTTTGTCGCTATTAGAATTGTTTCTATAAAGAATTTGTGTCTACAAATAAAGTGTTTGTTTCTAATCTTAATTTGACATGTGTGTGGCTACTTTTGTTTGACTATAGCACTTCTCTCATATTAATAAAACGTAATTGACTTTCAATTTGACATTTTTACATTGATCAACTTCTCTAGGGTGTTAATTTCTGATCAAATTTCTTGACATGCGCAGCATAGTACTCCCTCCGTCCCTAAATAAACTTCCAACTTTCCTTTTTCATCCGTCCCAATTAAAACTTCCACTTTCCTTTTTTGGCCAGAATTTGTGGTTCACAGCAATTCTTACACATTTCTCTCTCTTCTGCACAACTCTCCACCACACAATACCCACTATCTTAAACTATGTGCCAAACCTATTTGGAAGATATAATAGGGACGGAGGGAGTATATAAATATATTCATTACTTTGTGTAGGAGCCCCTTTAATTTGTGCAGGAGGAGGGCTCCTAGATACTACGTATTAGGGCTGCACATCGGGCGGGTTGGGTCAGGTTTGCTATATGAGAAAACCCGCGGTACGCAAAATAAGTTGGTAAACCATGCATGAACGGGTCGGGTAGAGTTAGGTATTGGGGGAAAAATCACTTTAGGGTGCATCTTTCATATGAGAAATTAATGTAACCAATTTAAAACTCGATTAACTTGTTTCCAAAACACACAAACAAATACAAGTACTCGTATCTTTTATAAGAAAAAACATTAGGTAATAGTATTAAAACATCCTTAGAAGGAAACGTAAATATATAATAATCACCTAGTCAAAATGATAAATGTTTAATTATAATTCTAATATCATGAAGTCCTAGATAGCGCACATTGGTCTTGAATTGAAATTATCCAAGAAAACGTTGTAGCATAATAATAGTAAAATGAACTTCGGGCGGTTCGGGTACTATCGGGTTTGAGATTTTAATTCTGCAACCCTACCCATTAGGTGCGGGTTCAAACATATTTAACCCATGAATATTCTTAAGAATCAAATACCCGATTAAATATGATCGGATAGGGTTGGGTCAGACGGGTTATGCGGGTTCGGGTTATTCTTATGCAGCCCTACTACGTATTTAAGATTTTAAGCGGCAGTACAAACCTTTTCATTCCCAGTACTTCATTCTTTCTCACTCCGTCACTCGGAGGTACAAATTTTCCCCGTGACAAATGTGCTTTTTCCTAGATTGACAGTTTGCCCTGTAGCCTTCTTATAAGATTGAAGAAAAGAGTTGAATTCCATAATAGACCTTGAATCCCCATTTAGAAATATTAAAAAGTCATCAGCAAATCCGAAACGGGAAATAGGATCACCAATATTTCTCATCCTGTATGGCTTAATCTTCCTAGACTCCATATGAGCTTTAATACCCCTAGAAAATGCTTCAGAAGCTCATATGAATAAAAAGAGGGATAAGGGATCTCCTTGTTTTACTCCTCTCATGGGCGGATCCATGTTGGGCTAGGGGTGGGCTCCAGGCCAACTCAGCCCAATTTTTTTTATTATTATAGGTATAGGTTTAATTTCCAGCCCACCTCAAAATTAATGTCTAGCCAAGCCCAAGCCTACCAACTTTGTAATTCTATTTGATTATTAATTGAATATTTTCAGTAGATAGTAAAATAGTTTTTATTTATTATAAATTTATAATGATTAAAGATAGAATTAAAGATTAGAAAATTATTTATTTATTATGCAATTAAAGAATAGAGAACAATGTACGTACTGTTTAGGCATGTAAGAATGGATTCAAAATCTCAATTCAATTTTAAAATTGGGAATACTTATTAGTTTTATGTACATCAACTATTTTTACTTATTAGTTTTATACTTTTATAGAAGTATTTTAATTCATATCAATAAATACTAAAATCTTTAATAATCAATAATAAAATTATAAATCACACTAAAAACGTTAAAATTTTAGATATACTACCTCCGTCTCGTTTTATTTAGCCATCTTTGACTCTTTAGTCAAAGATGGTAAACTTTGATCCATCATTTTAACTCATGTATTAATGTGAAACTCACTAAATTTATACTTTTATGATAAACTTTTTAACAAAGAACATTTCCATTTCTTTGACTTGAAAAGCCAAATTAGTCTTAATAAAAGTGGGTGGAGGTAGTATGTAGTTTATGTCACGCCCCGGACCACATCCGTGCCACGTAGACAACCGCCGTACAACCCAATAAGAACAACGTAGTTCATCCTTATCAAATCATACAAGGCGTCCGTTAAGTTCTATTGCCAAGCCGATTAGTAAACCCATACAATCAACATCAATATATATATTAGTCAAACAAATGCGGAAAATAAGATATGTTTGATACTTAGCCACACGTGGCAAATACGGGCACGCAGGCCCCCAAATGTTTTAATAGGAAACATTGTTAAAAATATCCATGAGCAGTTCATCAATTTTGAATAAGAATGGAAGCACGAACCACGTCTTCCTCCTTGATCAATCACCCTAGGCGAAGGTGCAGGTAGTAGGACTCTAGCCTCAACCTGAAAAATGTGAGGGCCCCCGAAGGGGTCAGTACTCCATAGAAGTACTAGTGACAAGCAGGCTATATGAGGAATAACTAATGCTTCAGACACGAGACCCAAAAGTAGGATGATACATAAATATATAGGTGTAACCATTGTTACCCCATTCCCAAGATAATACATAGTGTATATACTTGCAAAATACTTGACCCGTAGGTCATTTCCCCGCAAAAAGTCTTTTAGAGATAAGGTACTTACCCAACCTTTCCCCTTTCATCCTGAATGCCTAGCTCACAAACTACATTCTACTTTCATAATATCCTACCGAGTTTCGGGAGTATTTACCGTCCCGGGGATGCTCAACCCCAACCGAGTTTTAGGATCATTTACCGTCCCGAGGATGCTCAACCTCAACCGAGTTTTAGGATTGTTTACCGTCCTGAGGATACTCAACCTCACCGAGTTTTAGGATTGTTTACCGTCCTGAGGATACTCAACCTCACCGAGTTTTAGGATTGTTTACCGTCCTGAGGATACTCAACCTCACCGAGTTTTAGGATTGTTTACCGTCCTGAGGATACTCAACCTCAACCTTATTCCTTACCAACCCTAACTTGGATATGGCTAACCTTTCATTCAATTAACTATGGACAATACCTAGTCCTATAGTCATGTAACAATCCTTAGCAACCAACGTGGACGGGTCCCACCTGATCGGTCCACGTTAACCTACTCAAAAACTACCCGTTTTGAGTATAACCCAATACTCGATCGAGTACCCACCTATACTCGGTCAAGTACAGGAGACAGCAACCCGTAAGGCTAATCTTCCATGCATACTCGATCGAGTACCTATCCATACTCGATCGAGTATAGGAGGCAGCAGCCCGTAAGGCTAATTTTCCATGCATACTCGATCGAGTACCTATCCATACTCGATCGAGTATAGGAGGCAGCAGCCCTCTGGGCAGTTTTTCAGCAAATACCCGGTCGGGTATTTGCCAATACCCGGTCGGGTATTGTGGTTGACTTGGCGGTCAACGCCCGTTTGACCGCCCAAACGGAGTCCGATGAACGTGAAATTTTACATGCATGTACTCCTTGAAGTCCTTGATCCAAAAATACCTGTTTTGGTCCTTGGAACATCATACATCTCAATTTATAATCATTTCACTAATCAAACCTACATTTCATGCTTTCCAACCTTGTTATAGTTCTTAACATAACATAACACAAGCTTTAATACCATTAATCAATTCATAAAACATATTATTGATTAATTTAGGTAATCTCATGCCTCACGCAAAAGTTATAAAGCATATAGCCGTCTTCTCACCTTATTGAAGCTTATGAAGTTCTAGCCTTCCCGGTTTAGCCCCGGTGAAACTCCGGTGAACTTCAACGAACTCCGGCGACAACTCCGGCGCCCCTTTCAACTCCGTGAAAGTTCTTAAAATACCTTATACAAGTTAATAACAAGGTTTTATCATCATAAAACCCATATCACCACAAATAACCTCTAAAAGGTTATTTTCCGACGAACCCGTCAACTTTGCTCTCAAAGTTCGTTTTGGGTATAAACCAACCCCCTAACTCCCATTCTACACTTTTACATGTGTAGAACTATCCTAGGAGTATGAAACATGATTAAAGAGAAGAAATGGGATTAATGAAGTGATTACCTTGTTAACTACAAGTTTTCCCACCTAAAGCTCCTCTTTTCTCTTCTCTTTTCTCCTTCTTCTTCTTCCTTAGCTTGGTGCGTGTAAGGATGATGAAATGGAGTCTTTTGCAGACCTTCTCTCCTCAATGAATCTAGCTTGGATGAGAGACAAAGGCTGGGGTGGTTGTGAATAGCCTTTTTGGCTTATTCACCAATAATATGGGGGAGGGGGACCCCTTTTCCTATCAACTTGGTCTCAAACCACTTCCTCCCTCTTTCCATATGATATGGTGCGGCTCCCTTTGACAATTTGCAGACCAAGGACGTGGGGTGGCCCCCACTCATGTGGGAGGTCATCCCTTTGTGACCCGAGATGTATAATCGGCCCCGAAAGTTGTATTTTCCGGACTGTTTCAACTATATTTCATTTTATTGGGTTAAAAGAAATATCTATCATTCTTCCAATCATCATTGGCTTTTAGAATGAATATATATATATTCCCCAACTTTTAATTTAGCGGTCTCCATAATTTATTATGGCTTTTTATCTGTTAGTGCGTCGATACCGATAAATGAGCTTCATATGCCCTATTGGTTACTCACATAATTTGTATGGTCCAACAAGGACATCCACCATCATACACATATTACCTCGACTCAAACGAATATAATATGTGGGCCCGATAATATCGGGTGGTCCCCACCTCCAGTGTGGGCCCCATGTGAATTTTACTATTCACGTAAAAAGAAATGATAAAAATTTACAATCACGTAAAATGCATTCATTCATCTCTTGGGGTTCGATACATAATTTGATAAAGTACAATTACTTGGGGGCGGTGTTACAGTTTATTTCTATAATTTATAAGTTATCAATATGCTCGAGTCCAGATCGAACTGAACATGACTATGCTCGAATTCAGCTTGAATAACTATTCAAACTCAAAAAAATAGCGGCCGCTTTTTTTGTAAAAACAAACTAATTAAACTAAAATTTAGCCCGTGTTCGAGATTGAAGCTCGATAAGATTTGGTCATTAAATTAAATTCGAAATCACGATCGAACTCAAGTAGTTAAAAAAAAAACTCAGTTCAATAACTTTCAGTCCTAAGCTAAACCTTTTGTATGCAGTAACGAAAATTTTATTGCTTAGCCCACCCCACCCCTCATTCCTGGATCCGCCCTTGACTCCTCTGAATGGCTTAAAAAAACAATGTAGGGGTACAATGTAGGCATTCAATGTATCAAATGCCATTGTTTTACTCCTTGATATCTGCCTAGCATGCCGGATATATAAGCGATTGTTAACCTCAACACAAATGGTTTATTGGTTTAATCAATATAATTAATCCCCCTTAGATTATTAATCATGAGACGCATGTGTTAATAATATAAATTCACTACTGTTGAAAGGACTGATCGAATAACTGTTGGAGATTTATTGAAAATAAAGCTCAGAGTATTATTTTGCATGGTCCTTAAAAGTTCAATAATAAAAGTGGTATTTTATTTAAATGGCGTTAAAGGTATCTTAGTTATTAATGTTGCTTATTTAAGAAATTACGTTTGCAGTCAGCACTTTTGTGCTCATTTATAATACGGAGTATTAAATGTTAATTTTGAAAGTGGCAATTTGTATCACTTACGTACTTTGTGTGCACTACTTGCTGGATTGCAATTTTGAAATTAAATTTAATGGAAATGATTTTAACCCAATGTACAAGCCTTTTTGAAGGATCACACCTGTTTGCTTTTCAAGATGACTTGATCGCAATTCTGGCGACCAATGGTTCGTTTTGAAATGACAATTTGTTTCTTTTCAAAGAGTCACATTTGTGTATAAATAAAGGATCATGCAGAATTGAGAATTACGGAAAAAAATTCATTTTGTCAAATTCTCAAACTGTCTTGCTCTATTATTTTTATGTGCAGTATTATTAAAAATAAAGTGTTTAGACCACTTTATATACATATCACTTGTTAAGTGTTATTTTGTCAGTAGCCAAAATACACTGTACACCTTCTTTTTATCTCAAAAGTTCTATCTTGCAATCCGGTTACTGTGATAAGGGTAGATAGTAAACTTTTAGGAAAGCGTATTTTATACGTGACTAAAAGTGATATCCGGTTCAACCATATTTTATACCCTTATATTATACTACGTAATACTTTTATCCTCCTGATTTAACAATAACAAGCATATTCGTCGATCGATTCTAGTAATAAATAATATATGAAACAAAACTAGTTGATCAATTAAGTAATGCTCATATATTAATATGAGATATAAAATAGGAATGTAATTAATATTCAAGGAAGATAATTAAAGAAAATAAATCATAACTTACAAATCATAAGCTTCAATGTAACGAAATCAAAATGGAAGAGTTTAGCTCCTCATTTGGCGACTATACATACTAGAAAAATATAAAGAAAATACTTGTCTAAACTGAGCTTAGAGGTATATGAGAATTGGTGATTAAATGGGAAGGAAAAAAGGTGTATTTATAGGTGTTTGGATGTGGCAGGGTGAAATATCCGATCGGGTATTTGCTATACCTGATCGGGTATAAGACAAATCTTCACAAATATTTTTCCCGGATTTGATTTAAACACTCGAATCAAGCAAATACCCGATTGAGAATTTGCTATACCCGATCAGGTATAAGGACAATTTCCCAAATCTTCACTTTATCTTGTTCCTTTGCACTTTCCTTGGTCTTTCAAATATCCTTTTGATGATCTTTACCTACTTTAAGCTCAGAATAGTCATAATCTAAACAACTTACAAACAACTAGGAAAAATAAAGTATTACATCAACAATGTGTAATTTCTCAAAGAACAACAAATAAAATTAGTTAAAATTACAAACATAAACAATAACAATTCTATACTACCAAGGAGGTATAACACAGTTAATGTAACCAATAAACCAAACAAAGCACACATAAGTCGATGGAGTCTGTAATTGAAAATAACCTTTAGCGAGGGTGCCCTTGCCAGATTGATCCAATAAAAACAGAAGGAATTGGGTGTTGCATGCCTAGTGATATTCACATTATAAGAATTTTATAAAATATATAACGAGTTATCAAGGCAAACTATTCGGCAGGCTATGCAAACATTAACTATGATCATATTAACTTCCTAACTAATTTAACTCACTGATTAATTTGTTGGGTTTGCTTCAATTCTGTTTTATGGTTTTCTCATTTTGATATTTGGCTGTCAAAACAAATCATGTGACTTTCTTTGTACTATTGTAAGTTAGTTATCATTTTTGTATCAATATTGAGAATGATAAGCAAACTGACTTGATACGTGATAAGCAAACTGACTTGATATATTTGGTTGTCAAATCTGACAATTAGTCGTCAAATTTCATAGCATTTGTTCACGTTGTCATTGTTAGCTAAATGTTTAATTTGTTTGTGCGAAAATGATAAGCAAACATACTTTATTTCTGCAAGTTGTTGAGATGATACACGTTTTTAATAACAATGTATACACATATTTTACTGGTCATGGTACTTCATTCAATTTTTATACTCCCTCCGTCCCGCTATGATTGTACCATTTTACTATTTCGGTCCGTCCCACTAGGATTGTTCCATATCTTATTTGGTAAAGTTTGTATGGTTCTAAATCATTTCTACTTTATTCTTACTTTATCAATTCAATACCAACCACATAAACCCACTTTTATTAATAACCGTGTCACCTTCCCTTGTCCCAAACTTAGGGGGACGGATGTAGTATGTTCTTTTAAGATGTTACTGTTATGATAGGGGGGATGGAGATCTTATCAAGTGCTACACTCCGTGATCGGTTCTAATTTTGGTATCAAATTTTGGTAATACTAATTTTTATTTAGAGCATCTCCAATGCTAAAACGTTAACGGTGCATACGTGGCATGACAAATAACCAATTAAAAAACAATAAATACAATATCTCTCTCCTTCTTTCCACGGTCTTATGTGTTTATGGTAAGTTTTTGTCTGCAATGTCAATCACAATGTCTACATCTACATTGTGCTTGACATTGTGAAGAAAATCTTACCATATTGATGTAAGATCATTCAAATAAGGAGAGAGATATTGTATTTATTGTTTTCTAATTGGTTATTTTCCATGCCACGTATGCACTGTTAACGTTTTAGCATTGGAGATGCTCTTAATTTAATTTGGACTCTATATGATTTCACAACTCACACAGTTATTATGTGCTTAGGAGAAATAGAATATTATGAAAAGAACTTTAGTCAGTATAGTTGCTTCTTGGATATTTTGACTATGTGTCATACTATATTATGTGCTTTGGAGAAATAGAATATCGTCAAAAGAACTTTAGTCAGTATAGTTGTTCTTCTGAGATTTCTTGTAAATTTTGAGTTGCGTGTTTATGTTGTCTGTTGGCAGGCAATTTCCCGAGGTGACGAATTTAGATTTTCAACAAATCGTCCTGTTGAATTTGGAATCCCTTATTTCTTCCTGGGTTGAAAGAGGAGGACGACGATCACTTTCGGTAGCATGTCCTAGAAAGTCATCCGTGAAAAAAGAGTCATCGGAATGATCAAAGCTGTCTGTAGAGTTTTGAAATTTTTTTACTCCTATTTCGGGAAATTTCCCTTCATTTTTTTGTCAAAAAGAAAAAGGCAAAAAGGGCAACAAAGTGAGCAAAACAAGGAATATTAAATTGATATGCTGACGTAAATGTATATGTCACAAAATTGGTAGATTGAGCCTTGAGGTCCCTATATTCAAATTGCTACAAATTGAGCCTTGAGGAATATGGACTTTCACACACTTTTAGGAAATAAATTTGACTTTACTGTAGAGTGCACTGTTTAGCACTGTTTAAACATTGTTTGGCACTGTTTAAACACTGTTTGACACTGTTTAAACACTGTTTGGCACTGTTTATCACTTTTTAGATGTAGATAATTTGCCAAATAAGGAAAGTATTGAAGTGTGAAGTTAATTTTGGGACATCCATTTAAGGAAAGTGAGAAGTTGTTTTTGGGACGGAGGGAGTATAGTTTTACTTTGTGTATAATTTTATAGTATAAATTTTTTTGACTATTAAGATGTTTTTTATTGAACTGATATTTTTTTCTCAATTAAAAGTTTAACACCAAGATCTGTCGTCATGCGTGGTGTCACTATGGCCCTGTCTATTTGTATGGTGAAATAACCCATCTCAAAGGTAGCAAAATGATCCGTAAAAGAATGTTTTCTTTTATGATATTGGTGATATATT